CAAACCTATGTGTCTAGTTTTTTGATAGTGGAGCCCCCCCAATCATCTGTGTCCGATCGGGCCTGTGTCCGATCGGGCCTATGTCCGATTGCAACCATATGTGTCCGATCGGAACTGTGTCCAATCGGGTCTGTGTCCGATCGAGCCTGTGTCCGATTGGGATATATTGTCGTGTCCGATCGGTAATGTGCGCAATTGAGACTCACTCGAAGGGAGCGAGCGCGCTTCCCCTCACTACTAACTCCCACAAAGTCCTTTAGAGATTTGCTCGTTTTTGCTTCGTTTTGAAGAAAATCGCAAAAAATGAAACAAATAATTTTTACCAAAAAACTTAAAACAACACTAAAACATTTACACACCCCTCGGCCTACACTCTGACAGTATATAAGGAGTGACCGCATTCCAATCGGCGCATTCGCCCAACGTTTCTCCTGCAGTGAACACCTCTCGCCGAGGCAGAGAGTGTCACGTCTCAGTATTCAAGGTTAATAAAAAAAATTAAATTTTAATCTCTACTACTAAGTAAATTCCAAAGCGTGACTATGTTAGAATAATAGTAGTAAATCTGTATTGAGATAGAAGTATAAGTTATCGACTATATTGAATATAACTTTAATAAATCAAATGTTAATTCTTTTTGGTCACCCTGCATTCACCGGGTTTACCAAGGACCAGAAGTCTTACAACTTGTCTAGAAATAGAATAAGAGTAATATCTTAACTTACCAATAATTGGTTATGAGTATAGAATTAATGATTAGTATACTAGATTCTCCTTGTAGATGGTCCTCCAAATCGATTGATTATAAGCGCTCTTAATTATGGTGTCACGTCTCAGTATTCGAGGTTAATAAAAAAAATTAAATTCTAATTTCTACGACTAAGTAGACTCGAGAACGTGAATATATAATAATAATAATAATAGATCTGTATTGAGGTAGGAGTATAGTTCGTTAATTATATTGAATATAATTTTCTATAAATCAAATGTTTAGTTCTTTTTCGGTCACCCTGCATTCACCGGGTTTACCGGGGACCATAAGTCTTATAACCTGTCTAAAAATAGAATAAAAGCAATATCTTAACTTACCAATAATTGGTTAGGAGTATAGAATTAATAATTAGTATACTGGATTCTCCTTGTAGCTGGTCCTCCTAATTGATGGTAAGCGCTCTTAATTATGGTAATGACGGCTGATTCAGGATGAATTGGTAGCCGGATGTTGAAATAATTGGTAGAATGTTGTAGAGTAAAATAGCACTTTATTTTATATTTAAGTTAGGCAATTAATATTACTAGCGTCTGCTAACGCTAGAAAAACTCTAAGTACAAGAATGGAAGTCTTATAAACTGTGTGAATTAGGAACTTGTCGATGCGTACACCGGATTACTATGTTGGAGAGCTAGTGGTGTTAGCTGTTCGAAGTTCGAAATAGTAATATGTGTGAATTGCTCTGTAGTTGGAATAGTAATACGTGCGAACTGCTCTGTAGTTAGAATAGTAATGTTGGACTCTGGGCTCTCTCTGAGCTCCTCCGGTCTTCAGGTGTTGGTGGGGAGATGCTGCAGTGGGAGCGCCTTCCTATACTTGGTGGGATAGGGCCCTCTATGCTTTTGCCTTGGTCCTCAATGCTGGTGGGAGGGCCATAGGCGGGAATACGGCAAGTGGGAGCGTCGTTGGTAGGGAGCTCTACGTCACTCGGGGGTTCCCTGATGCAAGAGAAGGATAGCCATAGCGTTGCCTCATCCACTGCATGACTTCATGTTTCATCATCTTCCTTGGTCTTTGGGATGACGACTGCCTGCATTCCTCAGTCATCTTATCGGGCGGGCGAATAAGATTATCGATCGACGATGGACTTGCATAATCGTGCACAGTCTAAGACTCTTATAATACTTAGCATTGAATAAAATATTCTCTACTGAATATTCTTACAATTTTTACTTCCTACCTTTAAAATTAATATTAACATAGAATCTTATACTATTTAAAGCCAGCGTGTGCGTATAAAATATTGAAGCTATAATGAATAAGGTTTTTCGCAATTAATATGTATGTATAAATCGTACATCTGTTTTGCTATATATATACATATATACTTAATACTTTCCAAAAAAGACATTAGTCGAATTATTCTTCACAGTCCGAAAAATCTATGTATACAGCGTTTGGGTCTATGTATACGTCCTAAAATATATGTATAACGTTTTTAAATTTTGTCACATTTTATAATAAAGTTTTCAGTTTTCTAATAGCTCCTGTGGATTATAAATAAATTGTAGAATGTATGTTTTTAGTGGTAATGCAGCGAGAAAGTCCTGCGAATATACGTATGCGCTTACATTTATAATATCTTATTTTATTACTTAGACATATGCAATAGAATTTTGATGTCCTCGAACTACTCAATCTACGTATATATAAATATATATCGATTGTACATTTCGGGGACTTTCGCAGGGCCGCATGTATAAAAGTCCAAATTTTTGCCTTTCCGAGTTTTTTCGAGCTTATTCTCATTCTACAGACCCATAGCTATTTTTTTACATACTTTTTGATATACCAAGTGTTCAAGAAATATTGATGTGGAGCTTTTATATGCGGTTCTTCGTTATGATGTACGATTTTTCTTACATTCATATGTGTATACGCTTGTACGTGTGGTTTATGTGTGTAGTCCATATACAGGGTAGACATAAGTACTAATGCTAATTTTTAACATTGCTCTCTTTATTAGACGAGCAATTTTCTTCTTATATGCATGTATGTATATGCATGTTTAAATGATGGACACATGTAGTTCTTATATAGGGTGTCTATTAAATACTTATATATATTTTCCAAGTTACTTTTATGAAATTTATGATTGAATTTGCTCTGTTAGTATCCCCTTGAGTAAGTCTAATGAAAATTTATTGTTTATTAAAATAAAAATGTGCGGCTGGGACGTCAGAATGGTAATGACGGCTGATGTAGGATGGATCGGTAGCCGGACGTTGAAATAATTAGTAGAATGTCGTAAGGTAAAATAGCACTTTATTTTATATTTAAGTTAGACAACTAATATTACTAGCGTCTGCTAACGCTAGCAAACTCTGAGTACAAGAATGAAAGTCTTATAGACTGTATGAACTGGGAGCTTGTCGACACGTATGCCGGATTACTACGTTGAGAGCTATTCGTGTTAGCTGTTCGAAGTTTAGAATAGTAATGCTGGAAGCTGGGCTCGCTCTGAGCTCCTCCGGTCTTCGGGTGTTGGTGGGGGAAATGCTGCAGTGGGAGCGCCTTGATGTATGTGGTGGGGTAGGGCTCTCCATGCTTTGCATAGAGTCTTCCTGTGCTGGTGGGAGATCCGTGGGCGTGAGTATAGCGAATGGGAAGTGCTGTTGATAGGGAGCGCTACGTCACTCGGGGCTTCCCTGATGTGTGAGAAGGATGGCCATAGCTTATACTCTTGACTAAATACAATGTTAATAAAGGCGCTATGCTATATGGGGTGGGCATAGCGTAGAGTATATGTACGTATAAGGATTCTTAATGTTAATATGAACAAAAGGTATAAAATTCTTAATATTACTGTGTGCATATATAAATGTATGTGTTCTTAAAATTATTAAAGCATGTACCAATTATCCCGTTTCGTTATATCTACACAGGATATTTGTTTATTAATTAATAACGTTACATTTGCATTGACTATTGCCTTGTCTTTCCGTATTACATTCTCTTGTTAATTTTAACACTTCAGAAGTTAGTCTGACTGTGTAGTTTTAAATGCAAATATAAAATTATTATTTATTAATTATTCTTATAGTCTATGTGGTATGGATATTTTTATGTCACCCGCTAGAGCGCTTGAGCGTTGGATATGTATACGGGGTGATTTGCAAGTATAAATGCTACATTTAGTATTACTCTTTCTGAACGAACAATTCTCTTTAATTTTTATTTCTTTCACCTCTTATGGGTGCGTTGATAATAAATTTAATATTTTTTGAAATTAGACGTGCGGCTAGAACGTCACAAGAGCATTCGCCCAACGTTTCTCCTGCAGTGGAAACCTCTCGCCGAGGCAGAGAGCATTAACCATCCAGCGTCTGCCTGGCATTCTGTCAACGTTTCAAGAAATTTAAGTATATTACTTTAAACATTGTAATTTAGCAAAGTTCTTTTTCGAATAAATACTTTAAAATATTCGGGATTTCAAATTATTCTGGATCAGCATCTCCCGAGACAAGAAGCTCAACTCCTTGTAGGAAATACACGTAAGTTCGAAATATTTAACTCTAACTTCTTAACGTACGGCGTTTGTCATATTTAATCTAACTCCTTTTTCTTCTTTAAAGCTTAACTATTAAAGTGAGTATAATAATTCTGCATCTGAATTATTTGGAGATAGAAACTATTCCACTGAGTATTACAATACTTATTTATTATTAACAATTCCTTCAGAGAATTGTTGGGAGTGATTTTAACAATTGAAACTTTACTTTATTCTTTTAATATTTCTACCAAAGTAATATCCTGCATGATAGTTACCACATATGACAAATATTCAATTCTTTCTTTACCCTGGACGTTACTTACTTACATTACTTACCTTACAGTTTATCAAGCGACGCGGTAGCGTCGCGACGCCAAGTATATAAAAAAAAACGTTTCGGCTTGTCAACGGTTTGCCTATGTTGCCTATGTACAGGGGCCGCGACGCTACCAAGTAGCTTATCCGGAGTTTTACGTCTAATAAACTTTCGATTAAAATTCCTCAGGAACCAAGCCGTTAATCAAAAATCTAACGGCACTTTTCTTATATAATGTGGATGCAAGTTTTCGATTGCGACCAGTTTGAATAAGATTGGTGCAGTCAATCCTGAGGAATGATAATCGTATACCAGAAATGTGACATTTTTCGTTCTTCATCATTATCATAATAATAAGATAAGTTTCAGACTCTCACGTACGTATGCTCGCACGCACACACGCAAAGCGAGTTTGTCCCTCAAGGCGCGTTTGCAGCGCTCAAAAGATTCTTATCAGATTTGCCTTTAACCATAACAGTTTGCAAATCTTTAATACGCTGTCCCGATCTGCATGAAAGACAGAATATTATTTATGAAAAACATGCGACCAAAATTGGAGGTCACAAAGGAATAACGAAAACTTATAATAGAATTAGACAAAATTCAACCATGTCAACCATGAAAAAGGACATACAAGAATATATTAAAAACTGTAGAAACTGCCAAATAAAAAAACTAACTAGAGTGAAGACCAAACAACCAATGCTAATAACAGATATTCCTGGAGCCGCATTCGATAAAATATCCATGGATGTAGTAGGACCATTGCCAACCACTAGTCGAAACAACTCCTATATACTTACCATCCAAGACCTTTTAACCAAGTACTGTGTCGCTTCTCCTATTCAAAATGCAGACTCTCTTTCTATCGCAGAAGCTTTTATCAAGGACTTTATTTGTGTATATGTAGCTCCTAGAGCCTTGTTAACTGACCAAGCTCCCACTTTTTTCATCTCTCTCATGAAGACCATTGCAAACTACTTTAAGATCAAACAGTATCGTACAACTGCTTATTACCCACAGTCTAACGGTTCCATAGAACGCTCGCATCATGTTCTAACCGAATATTTGAAAATGTATATTAACCAAAATAAAGAATGGGACAAACACATACGCCCCGCAATGTTCGCATATAACACTTCGGTACACGAAGGAACAAATTACACTCCTTACTCTTTAGTTTTTGGACATCTTCCTCGTGTACCTTCATCTTTTATAATTCCCGAGGAAGTAACAGAATTACCTTATCAAGACTATCTCACAAACCTCTTTGACACTTTAAAATCATTCCAGCAATTAGCAAGACAGAACTTAATAAAGTCAAAAGAAAAAAGTGAAAAGCATTATGATAAGAAAACAAATGTACAAAATTTTAAAGCTAACGATAAAGCCTATCTACTGAAAGAACCAACTAAGGGTAAATTTGACGACCAGTATACTGGTCCATACAAAATCATTATAGTGATACCCATGAACAACGCAAGAATAGACGTTCGCGGGAAACCACGCGTAGTTCACGTAAAGAAGCTAAAGTTGTGCAAAAGCACCTATTATATAGATCCGGATTGAAAGAAAGTGCAAAAAGAGAAATTTTGTAAGCGCAGCCTGGACCCCCGGATCCAGTAATATTAAGAATCTTAAATATTTTCATTTCTTTTCCTATTATAACTACACGTGCTTGTATACTCGCACTCTACACATCCTGTAACACAAAACAACACAGACAAGCAACATTATTCGCGATCTTATATTTAAATATAGTATTTTTTATTTTTAAGGTTTTCTACGTTCTACTCTTCTTGTCCGTTACCGCAACGTTACTCTCTGGCACAACGTCAATAATAGCGTACGATTGCGGAGGAGCGTACCTCAACGTTACCACCGTTTCACTATTAAGATCCGATAAATACGATTTAGACATCGATACACCTGCGACAACAAACACGTATATACAACTTCTGCAATTATCAAATTATGCGCAAACACAAGTTATCCAATGTAAGATAGAAATCATGCGCACTATACACCACTGTGGCATGCACTCACACATTTTCGCAGTCCATAACGGTTATGCTAGCTACTTACAAGAGACATCTCATAGCAGATGTGTGCAGATGCACAAAGAAGGACTTTTAAGAATAGGAAGTTCAGAAATTATAGACGGGCTAAAATCGAATCACACATACTATCGAAGCGTTACACTTGCAGGAAAAGTAAATGTAGACGGCAAATGCAAAGGAATTCAATACTCTGATCACTATGGCACTTGGGACGACGTAGTCGTACAAGCCACTGTAAAAATATCATTAAAAGATCCATACGTTCCAATCAAATTAAATACAGGAAAAATAGTTTTAAAGTCCGGTACCGTTTGTGACCTAGGAGACGAAACATGCATAGACTCAGACGACGGTTATTCATTTTGGGAAAGCATACCTGCCACTGCGTGCGCATTTGAAAATTACGATATATTATACGAAGGAAGCGCTATTAAATTCCAAGGATTTCAAGATACGCACAATACTACCATTTTTTCCTTAGAAACACAAGACACAAACTTTGCCCTCATATTGGCACGCAGGCACACCATTTGTGGATACACTTTATACGGGACAGAAAATCCTAAATTATTTATTTTCGAGACACAGAAAGGGAACATTTTCAAAACCCAATCAAAAACCGCTATTACGAACCTTGATATGTTTACTTATGCAAACTCAAAATTTGTTTACGTCGAAAAATACATAAGGAGCCAAATAACCTCCTTATATCAAGACGTAATCCTGCAGAAATGTGAGTTGGATAAACAAGTGATACAGAATACACTGTTGCTTGCCTCCATCTTACCAGACGAATTTGCATACAGGCTCATGAAGTCTCCCGGCTATATGGCAGTAACTGCAGGAGAAGTAATTCATGTCATAAAATGCATACCGATAGATGTAATACTCAGGAAAACTAACATATGTCACATAGAATTACCAGTCACATTTCGAAACGCCTCACTATACATGATTCCCAAATCACGCATACTGACTAGACAGAATACACTTCGAGACTGCAATCCCTTATTACCTATCCTCTATAATATTAAAGAGACCTGGATACAATTTAACCCTATACCTGCAATGGCAAACCCTCCACATACAATTGTGACGTCCCAGCCGCACATTTTTATTTTTATAAATAATAAACTTTCATTAGACTTACTCAAGGGGATACTAACAGAGCAAATTCAATCATAAATTTCATAAAAGTAACTTGGAAAATATATATAAGTATTTAATAGACACCCTATATAAGAACTACATGTGTCAATCATTTAAGCATGCATATAGGCACAAGTATATAAGAAGAAAGTTGCTCGTCTAATAAAGAGAGCAATGTTAAAAATTAGCATTAGTACTTATGTCTACCCTGTATATGGACTACACACATAAACCACACGTACAAGCGTATACACATATGAATGTAAGGTAAAAATCGTACATCATAACGAAGAACTGCATATAAGAGCTCCACATCAATATTTCTTGAACACTCGGTATATCAAAAAGTATGTAAAAATATAGCTATGGGTCTGTAGAATGAGAATAAGCTCGAAAAAACTCGGAAAGGCAAAAATTTGGACTTTTATACATGCGGCCCTGCGGAAGTCCCCGAAATGTACAATCGATATATACTTATATTTTTTTTAAAAGTGAAAAAAAGCTCCAAGTGCACGCGCATAAGCGTCTTTTGCTATAAAAAAACTCTTATACAAAATAATGTTATTTCAATTTATTATGAAAAATTCTTATACAAAATAGTGTTATTTTAATTATTTTAATACAAAAACACTGTCACATTCAAACTAAAAAACTGTTTCACAAAATAGTTGTTTTAATTTTCTACAAAAATAATGTGATATATTTTTCGGGAGTCGACCTCGACGAGATCGCCCGAATCTTAAGAGAGACGCTCAGAGATGAGCGAGAAGCTTAGTGTAACGCGGATCCGTAGATCCACTAAAGGACAAGGAGATTTTAGAAAGTACTCGAGTGCAAGTTGTTTTAAATGTTAGTTTTATTTGGAATTATAGGAGCGAGCGACGGCACGTACTCCGCGATTCCGACGGAAATTTTCAAAATGTCCCTTTACTGACTGCCTTCAACGCGTGTCGGAAATTTTGCAGAGCTTCTTGCTAGAGGCTCTCGCGAGAACGGATATCTTGCACGCGGACGGTGGATTGAATAGTTCGAGGACATCAAAATTCTATTGCATATGTCTATGTATTAAAATAAGATATTATAAATGTAAACGCATACATATATTCGCAGGACCTTCTCGCTGCATTACCACTAAAAACATACATTCTACAATTTATTTATAATCCACAGGAATGCTATTAGAAAACTGAAAACTTTATTATAAAATGTGACAAAATTTAAAAACGTTATACATATATTTTAGAACGTATACATAAACCCAAACGTTGTATACATAAATTCTTCAACACTGAAAAATAAATGTATATTTATAAATTATTCATAAGACATGCATTAACTTTACAGACTGCATTTATATATCAAAAACGAAAGTTATTTATACTTATCTGTAATAAGTTGAACCTCTGTAAGAAGTTAAACCAATGTTATTTATACTTATCTGTAGTCATATGATGCATGACGAATAACTATATGATGACACTCCAGTCAATCCTGAGGAATGATAATCGTATACCAGAATGTGACACTTTTATTTTTCATAAGATTCAGACTCTCACGTACGTACGTATGCACTCATACATGCAAAGCGATTTTGTCCCTCAAGGCGCGTTTGCAGCGCTCATGTATGATTTTATGTGTGTGTGCAAATACGCCTTGAGAGACAATGTGTATGTATGTGCGTGCATACGTATATGATACGTATAAAACGACGCGGTAGTCGCGGGTCGCGGTACGCAATAGCATCGCGACGTCAAGATATAATAATAAAAGGTTAAGGTTATATTCGTTCCTTTTGTATGTCATTTTAATTTTAATCCTCCCTACCAACGACGCTCCCACTTGCTGTATTCCCGCCTATGGCCCTCCCACCAGCATCGAAGACCAAGGCAAAGGCATAGAGGGCCCTATCTCACCAAGTATAGGAAGACGCTCCCACTGCAGCATCTCCCCACCAACACCTGAAGACCGGAGGTGCTCAGAGAGAGCCCAGCGTCCAACATTACTATTTCAAACTTCGAATAGCTAACACCACTAGCTCTCCAACATAGTAATCCGGTGTACGCATCGACAAGTTCCTAATTCACACAGTCTATAAGACTTCCATTCTTGTACTTAGAGTTTTTCTAGCGTTAGCAGACGCTAGTAATATTAATTGCCTAACTTAAATATAAAATAAAGTGCTATTTTACTCTACAACATTCTACCAATTATTTCAACATCCGGCTACCAATTCATCCTGAATCAGCCGTCATTACCATAATTAAGAGCGCTTATCATGAATCAATTTGGAGGACCAGCTACAAGAAGAATCCAGTATACTAATTATTAATTCTATACTCCTAACCAATTATTGGTAAGTTAAGATATTGCTTTTATTCTATTTTTAGACAGGTTATAAGACTTATGGTCCCCGGTAAACCCGGTGAATGCAGGGTGACCGAAAAAGAATTAAACATTTGATTTATAGAAAATTATATTCAATATAATTAACAAACTATACTCCTACCTCAATACAGATCTATTATTATTATTATTATATATTCACGCTCTCGAGTCTACTTAGTCGTAGAAATTAGAATTTAATTTTTTTTTATTAACCTCGAATACTGAGACGTGACACTAGAATAACCGTTATGGACTGCGGAAATGTGTGAGTGCATGCCACAGTGGTGTATGGTGCGCATGATTTCTATCTTACATTGGATAACTTATGTTTGCGCATAATTTGATAATTGCAGAAGTTGTATATACGTGTTTATCTTAATAGTGAAACGGTGGTAACGTTGAGATACGATCCTCCGCAATCGTACGCTATTATATATCTGGTACGTTGTGCCAGAGAGTAACGTTGCGATAACGGACAAGAAGAGTAGAACGTAGGAAACCTTAAAAATAAAAGATATTATAATTAAATGTAAGATCGCGAATAATGTTGCTTGTCTGTGTTGTTTTGTGTTACAGGATGTGTAGAGTGAGAGTATACAAGCACGTGTAGTTATAATAGAAAAAGAAATGAAAAAAGAAAAGATTCTTAATATTACTGGATCCGGGGGTCCAGGCTGCGCTTACAAAATTTCTCTTTTTGCACTTTCTTTCAACCCGGATCTATATAATAGGTGCTTTTGCACAACTTTAGCTTCTTTACGTGAACTACGCGTGGTTTCCCGCGAAAGTCTATTCTTGCGTTGTTCATGGGTATCATTTCAATGATTTTGTATGGACTAGTATACTGGTCGTCAAATTTACCCATAGTTAGTTCTTTCAGTAAATAGACTTTATCGTTAGCTTTAAAATTTTGTACATTTGTTCTCTTATCATAATGCTTTCCACTTTTTTCTTTTGACTTTATTAAGTTCTGTCTTGCTAATTGATGAGATGATTTTAAAATGTCAAAGAGGTTTGTGAGATAGTCTTGATAAGGTAATTCTGTTACTTCCTCGGGAATTATAAAAAATGAAGGTACACGAGGAAGGTGTCCAAAAACTAAAGAGTAAGGGGTGTAATTTGTTCCTTCGTGTACTGAAGTGTTATATGCGAACATTGCGGGGCGTATGTGTTCGTCCCATTCTTTATTTTGGTTAATATACATTTTCAAATATTCCGTGTATGGAATATATAAATATGGAACCGTTAGACTGTGGGTAATAAGCAGTTGTACGATACTGTTTGATCTTAAAGTAGTTTGCAATGATCTTCATGAGAGAGATGAAAAAAGTGGGAGCTTGGTCAGTTAACAAGGCTCTAGGAGCTACATATACACAAATAAAGTCCTTGATAAAAGCTTCTGCGATAGAAAGAGAGTCAGCATTTTGAATAGGAGAAGCGACACAGTACTTGTTTAAAAGGTCTTGGATGGTAAGTATATAGGAGTTGTTTCGACTAGTGATTGGCAATGGTCCTACTACATTCATGGATATTTTATCGAATGCGGCTCCAGGAGTATCTGTTATTAGCATTGGTTGCCTAGTTTTTACCCTAGTTAGTTTTTTAATTTGACAGTTTCTACAGTTTTTAATATATTCTTGTATGTCCTTTTTCATGGTTGACCAATAATAATTTTGTCTAATTCTATTATAAGTTTTCGTTATTCCTTTGTGTCCTCCAATTTTGGACGCATGTTTTTCATGAATAATATTTTGTCTTTCATGCAGGTCGGGACAGCGTATTAAAGATTTGCAAACTGTTATGGTTAAAGGCAAATCTGATAAGAATCTTTTGAGGTTCTTGTACATAAAAATCCAGGGAATTGAGTCGTACAAGTCGTTCTGTGCAATACTAACAGATTTTAGATTTAATTCTGTTATGGCGTCACGTAATGACCGGATGCAATTTAAGATATCATTTTGTTCAATAGGGATCCTATCGTCTTGTTTTATTGGAATGTTCATTAGGAATCTTCCGTTATTTAAATTAGTAATACGTGCTCTAGTAAATGTAAGTTCCTCATAATTTGGAAGTTTGTTTTCTTTTTGATAATCTTTAGCTCCCTTATCAAAAGGAGCTCCGTTAAGAGTGGTGAATATAACGTGATGATCTTTCCTAGTGAGTAAAGTGTCGCGTGTTTCGTTAATTTTAAAGGGGTTTTCATCGTCCGATGATTTGAGTCGGGGAGATGCCGATTCGGCGTCGTCTATTTCGCTTCCGGACTCTTCGTTCGTGTTTGTTGATTCGTCTTCGTCAGACTCTATTGTTGGATCATTTACTTCTCTGTCTGAATTTATTGTGTCAGGGAATAAGAACCGTTGTTCATTACTAGTTATTGCGGGTGGAATTAATAAGGCGTCTTCCGTCAAATCTCTAATTATTATTTGTTGCTGAAGATTTATAAGTGTGTTATTATTGGATGAGAAACTAATAGGAGGTCTGGACTGTTGGGTAGCTGTTTGGTATGAAAAAAGGGATTCATTAGAGCTTTCGTTCACAGTTGTTAAAGGAAGCAGAAAAGCATCAGAAGCAGGTGGGTTTCTCGAAAGAGCATCTGCTACTAGGTTGGTTTTTCCCGTTTTGTAATTGATTTCATAATCGTATTCAGATAATTTTAACCTCCATTTCCAAAGCCTTGAGCTGGGGTCCTTTACTGAATGGAGCCAAACCAACGGTTTGTGGTCCGTTAAGATGGTAAAGCGTTTGCCGTATAGGTAATGGCGGAAATACGTGACGCAGTATACGACGGCCAAGCACTCCTTCTCGATTGTCGAGTACCTTTCTTCAGCGTCGTTTAGTGTTCTGGAAGTGTAAGTTATAGGTGTCTTTCCCAATCTCGCCTTGACTCAATACACCTCCTATGGCGTAACCGCTAGCATCGGTAGTCAATAGAAAAGGTTCATCAAAATTTGGGTACTGTAAGATGGGTTCCTTGCAAAGTTCGTTTCGCAGTGTGTTAAAGGAGTTTTCTTGTAAGGTGGTCCAAATAAACGGTTTGTCTTTCTTTAATAGGTCAGTCAAGGGTTTTGCGATTTTGGAGAAATCCCTTATAAACCTACGATAGTATCCGGCTAGGCCCAAAAATTGTTTTATATTTCTGTAGTTTTTAGGAATCGGAAAATGTTTAACCGCGTTAACTTTATCAGGATCTGGCCTCACTCCGTTGCTTCCGATAATATGCCCCAAATAGGCTACCTCGTGCCTAAGGAACTGGCATTTGTCGGGTTGCAACTGTAAGTTGGCCTGTTTTAGTCTCTGCATTAGTTCTTTTATTTTTATTAGATGTTCTTCCAACGATCTTGCGTAAATCACGATGTCATCGAGATAAACGAATAGTTCGTTTCCTTACAAGCCGGTGAGGACATTATCCATCAGGCGTTGGAAGGTTGCGGGAGCGTCTCTCAGTCCGAATGGCATTCTCTGATATTCATAATGGCCGTAAGGAGTCGAGAAGGCCGTCATCTCTTGGTCTTCTCGGGCCATAGGTATTTGGTGGAATCCTTGTGCTAGGTCAAAAACAGAAAAATATTTCGCGCTACCCAACTGGTCTAATATTTCTATAATATTAGGCAGTGGGTATGCATCTCCGACTGTCTTCTCGTTCAGTTTTCTGAAATCGATGACCATTCGCCATTTCTTTTGTCCGTCGGCCGCGGACTTCTTCGGGACGATCCATAGGGGAGCGTTATATGGTGAGGCTGAGGGCACTATCATTTCATCCTCCAGCAATTTTGTCACCTGTTTGTCGATATCCTCCTTATGGACCGGTGGATACCTATATTGCCTCACATGTATAGGTATATTATCTGTAGTAAGAATGGAGTGTTTCGTGAAGGTAGTAAATTTGAGTTTTTCTCCAGGAAGATAGAAGCAGTCACCATACTCTTTAAGTATGGTATTTACGTGATCCGTTTCTTCTTCGTTTAAATGTTCAGTGTTAATTAAAGATCTGAGTCGTTCTGAACGACTAGAAGATACTGGAAACGCATCTGTTTTGTTCGAATAACCTTTAAGGTTATAGATCTCGCATTCTTGGTCGAGATGTAATAAATTTGGATCAAAAGATTTCCCATAGTTGGAGAGCTCTCCTTGGCTCATAGTAGACTCCATCAGATCCCTTGAAGCGGGAGGTTGAGCGGAGTTGGCAGAATACAAAAACTCTTTGGAGTTTAATAAATTAGCATCTGAAGATTTCCCATAGTTGGAGAGTTCTCCTTGGCTCATAGATTTAATATTGTTCGAATAACCCTTAAGGTTATCAGTCTCGCATTCCTGATCGAGACGTAGTGAATTTGGAGATTCCTCGGAATCTCTGGATTTAGCGATAGAAAACCCCTCGGGGCTTGCTGAAATAGAAAGCTCATAAGGCCTTGTAGGATTGGAAGGCTTTTGAAAGTGTGCGGAAGTGTAAGAATTCAGCGGACCTAGATGCTCCTCAGAGTCATCCGGTATTGAATATTCGAAAAGCGGCAGCGGGTAGACTTCCACGGTGTAGTCGCGCTCGGTCAAATTATAAGCTTTCATGTGCCCCTTCCCTCGGGAATTTTTGACCAAGGCTTTGCCAAGAAGCAACCCTTTTATTGGCTCATTTCGAGGAACGTAACCCTCTTTTCTTTCTGTGTTCGTAATATTAAAGGATACCGTTACGACGGTCTGTGACGGTACTAGTACTCTTTCCTTTTTAAAGAAAGGTACCTGGATATCTCCAAATGCTAAGCAACTTTGATTATAGTCAATGATAGCATTATTTTGATTTAAAAATTCGGCACCTATTATGCCATCGGCAGGTATGCCGAAGTCGTTTCCGACAATATAGAATTTTGTATTTTTTCCCATAATTTCGAAAGTGGCTGACCCTAATGCCTTAATTGGTTTTTTAGTAATTCCTTTTAAGCTTAGTCTGTCTTTTATGTTTATAGGGGTCCCCTTTAAAATTCCTACTTTTACGAGATTTACGGAGGACCCGGAGTCCACCATAAAGAAACAGTAGGCTTTGAAGTTTCTACAAGTTATGATGACCTTCGGTTGGTGCGCCTTTGAGCCTATCGGACCTAAATTTGCAACTCCGATAGTGGCATCCGAATCGTCTAATATTGGTTTGGTTAATTGAGTGACCTGTGCCGGATCACTATATTTTTTTAACAAAATTTTTGAAAAACTCGAGCCTTCTTCTTTATCATTGAAATCTTTCAAGTTGCTGTGGTGGTCGGCTCGGTCTGCACTGTGATGGGGTGCGCGGTCGCCTGGGCCGGTTCCCTGGTCGCGCTTAGCGTCGGGCGGCCCTCCGCGTTTCCCGACGCCTGCATAGCGTTTCTGTAGGCTAGTTTTCGACACTCGGCTACTCTATGCCCCGGGGCCTTGCAGTAGTTACAAATACCAGGGGAATTTGGTCCTGGTTGACCCGGTACTAGGAGTCTGATCCAAGGTCGCGGTGCGGAAGTGTTATTTGTGTTTTTTAGAATAGATTTCAGTTGTTCCAATTTAGGAGGTTTAATATTGTCTATGTCTGCGCATCGTAGGAAAGATTCGCGGGGTATTTTGGCGTTCGCGCTGTTTCTCAACTTCTAGATTTTTCGAAATCTTAACGGCCCATTTGATAGCCTGATCCAAGGTAGTTATATTTCGATACTCCATGCGTGTGATTACGTTTGATGGTAGTCCATTTATGAAAGCCTCGAGGACTTCCCCTTCGACTTCATTATTAAATCCACGTGGGTTATTTGTACCCTGATGTCGGTGTCCGTCTAGTATGGCGAATTTCAAATCTTTGATTCTGCCTGCGTATTTTAGGATGGTTTCGTTAGGCAACTTATACGCGTTAGCCAATTCTCCGCGGTATTGTGCTACAGATTTGTTAGGGGCGAAAATGTTTTTTAATTTGTCTAACAAGTTTACGCGTGTGTACACATTACCCTCTATTATTTGGTATGCGTCTCCTTCGATTTTATTTATAATAAATTGTACCAGCTGTGATTCTTGCACTGATGGTAATAGGTCACGAGCGCGTTCGCATGCTCGGGCGAATTGAAAAATAGAGATTCGATAACCGTTAAACGGGGGAATATTCGCGACCACATCTTTTAATTTCAGGGTCGGCATTATTACGGGTGGTTCTTCCTGTTCCGACAGGCCAGCGCATTCATCGTATGCGGACGCGGCGCGGGAAGTTTCGTTCATTCTTTGTTCCAAATGGTTTACTTGTTCTGTTAATCTACGCAACTGTGATAATTTTGATTGGATTTGTGATAAAACGTGAAATAAAGAGTTTGGGTCAATAGAATCGCTGGTGCGTTTGGTTGTCTCGTCGCGTTCTTTCTGAGGTGTTTTAGGTTGCAATAATTTCTCGCGATCCTCCGAATGTTTTTGTTTCTTTTCGTTTTCTGAGTCTAGGCTCGCGGAATTGTGGGATCTCGTGGAGTAAGCCATTGTGAATATGTTGTACAATGGTTTTCAAAAATTTATTTCAGCTCCTGTTTCGATCGATTGTATGTACGTATTAGGTGTACAACTTTGCTTCCGCCGTTTTCCTATAGATGGCTTTAGCGGTAAGTAGTGTGTGGTAGCGTTATAGTTAAATCACTAGACTTTCCTTTTTACTAATAAAATATTTAATTCACGAGTAAGATGTGTACAGACTGATGGTCAATGAACGAACGAATGAATGTTACATAATTTGTCGTATGTTTAATATGTTGTTATGTAAAGTGTTAAATCAATAAATGAAATGTGTGAAAATGGTTACAAATATATTTCATGAAGTTGGTAACAAAAATGATTTTGAATTCAGCCGCAGGAACGCCACATCGGAGTTTGCCCGTCACTCCTGTCTTCTTCTTCTTCTTCTTCTTTTTATGGCTGGTTGGGCATTAGTCGCCCATACACCATTATTTCTTATGAGTTTGCAAAGATTATATGTTTAGGTTGAGACCTTTAACAAATGAGTGGAGCAGTTTATATAACCTGGGATTGTTGGAAAAGGCAATACTGGGTATGTCGATTGGAATAAGAGGGTCTGTTCTTTTGATAGATGAAATGAGTGCAGATGATTCGTCTGCAAAGGAGGGGCATTGAAAGAAGATGTGATTGAGGTTCTGGCAAGCATGACCACAGGAGCATTCTGACGATGTTAGAATGTTTTTGTCCAGTAGATGTTTGCCGGTGGCAGTGTGATGTGATCTGATTCTGGAGATGAGAGTGATAACCGATCTAGGAAGTGAGTCTTTAAAATTTTTATACCAGGGTGTTGAAAGGATGGAATCCCTGTACTCAAGTTTGAGATTAAAGTATCTGGTACCTTTATATTGACTCTGTTGCCTGAGAGTTTGCGTAGCTTTGTCTTTAGCAATTTTTTTGAATTTAGAATAAATGTTTGAGTAATGGCATTTACTCATCAGAAAATGATTAGGAAGGTGCAGAGACTCCTTAGCCAGAAGATCAGCCTGTTCGTTGCCATATATACCCCTATGGCTAGGTATCCAAAAAAGTTTGACCGAGATATTACTAATTTGGCAATTATACAAAGAGTGTCTGATTTTAAGTATCCAATGGTGGGTTTTCCCTGACCATGCCGAATTGTTTAAACCAGAGAGGACACTGAGTGAGTCCGTGAATATAGATGAATTGTTGATTTTCCTATCCATAATTATATCGAGGGTGTGAGAAATAGCGAGCGTCTCCGCTTCAAAGATAGAGCAGTTGTCATTAATCCTGCGCTTAATTTTTAAATTCAAGTCCGGGGAATAAATTCCGAATTTCAAATCTTTGATTCTGCCTGCGTATTTTAGGATGGTTTCGTTAGGCAACTTATACGCGTTAGCCAATTCTCCGCGGTATTGTGCTACAGATTTGTTAGGGGCGAAAATGTTTTTTAATTTGTCTAACAAGTTTACGCGTGTGTACACATTACCCTCTATTATTTGGTATGCGTCTCCTTCGATTTTATTTATAATAAATTGTACCAGCTGTGATTCTTGCACTGATGGTAATAGGTCACGAGCGCGTTCGCATGCTCGGGCGAATTGAAAAATAGAGATTCGATAACCGTTAAACGGGGGAATATTCGCGACCACATCTTTTAATTTCAGGGTCGGCATTATTACGGGTGGTTCTTCCTGTTCCGACAGGCCAGCGCATTCATCGTATGCGGACGCGGCGCGGGAAGTTTCGTTCATTCTTTGTTCCAAATGGTTTACTTGTTCTGTTAATCTACGCAACTGTGATAATTTTGATTGGATTTGTGATAAAACGTGAAATAAAGAGTT